AATAATTAGGCTTGTAAATTACATATAATTTATAGGTACAAATATGTAATTGATAATAACTTTATAATATTTTTTTAGAAAGGCTGCGGCTATATGCAATACTCATTCCACTTGTGCAAGACCAAATTAAAGAAAGATTCCAAAAGATTCTATTTTATTAAGATGGAATGACAAGTATGCCCATAAATTAAATTGGCTTTTTTTTTTCTCATGTAAGACCAAATACATATAATGAGAAAAAAACAAAAATCGACACCAAGGTGTCGAAAAACTATACTACAAATCGACACTTAAGCGTCGAATTTCATAGGTAAAAATCGACATTGACATGTCGAATTTATAGCACAAATTCAAATGTCGAATTTTATACCTCAAAATCGACATCTAAATGTCGAATTTTATATCTCAAAATCGACATCTAAATGTCGATTTTTAGCTGTAAAATTCGACCTGTACATGTCGAATTCGTTTGCGCGGGATTTTTTTTGGAAAATCGATATTCTAGCTACAAAAACCCATAAATGCATACATTCTTGGGTTCTTCCATCGTAGAATCTTCTATTTTGATGTCTTCTGACTCCATACTTGCCATCTTTGTAAGATTTGTTGAGTTTTGATGATTTTGAATTTCTAGGTTTTGTGGGTTAATGGAGGAGGAAGGAGAAAGGTCTTGTGGGTTTTGGAAGATGGAGAAGATGAGAGTTGGTCTTGTGGTTGTGGTCTTGTGATAGGGTTTTTTGTGTTTTTGAATTTTTTGTCTTGCATATTTGGAATTTTTTATTTTTTTAATAAATAAGGGTATTATAGTATTTATACATTGAAAATTTTAATTTGGTCTTGTACAAGTGGAATTAGTCTTGCATATACCCGCAGCCTTTTAGAAATTATAAATATACCCCTATATTTTAAAAAATGGCACATTTCACACACGTTCCCGTATTCATTTTTTTTTTAAACGGAACTTTTCCATATCCATTTCCTCGTTCAACCGTGTCCGCGTTCTCGTTTCAGTGCTACATAGATTATGGACTATAGTGAATTGCCCCAAACATTAAACACCCCAATTAAATTACTACCTTACTTTATTCTCAAGTCATCTTTTTTATTTATTTTTTTTTTCTGTGAAACACTAAATGATATACTTTCTTCAATTGTGTGCCATCACAAAATACCTACTACAGTAATTATTAAGATAATCTTCTTCCTTTTTAATATATAATAAATAAATAAATAATTTCTATAGAGACCAGCTTCCTCTTCTCATCCAACTTGTCACAAAAATATTCCAACTAGAAGCAGCTAGAATATGCAACCATCAAAACTGACATCTCACAGTAAATAAATAATTAATAACCGTTCACACTAGTTTTATTTACTTGATTATTATTAATTTTTATTTATAGGGTCAAAATTTAGGTGCTTTTAGGTCAAAAGAAATTGACTATTTAAAAAGAATTCTGGAGGCCTCAACTACCTTATTTAGGTTTTCTTGGTCTTAAGAAAATGTAAATGAAATTATGCTGACTAATTCAACACCAGTTATTTTACAACGTTGATTCACAGTTCTTCAATTAATTAAAAGTGTTATTTTTTAGTGTAAATTACTAAAATCCCCCGAACTTAGATTAAATTATAAAAAAGACCACCACCTATCCATAAATACCGAAATACCCCCGACATTTGTTTCTATCTTATACCGAATTCCTTATGGTGTTATTGTTTATTGATTTTTTTTGTTTCCTTGGAATATTTCTCAAAGAACAATTTATAGTTGTTACATAAGTGGCATTTATTTATGCTACTTTTTAAAGGCAAAAATTACACTCAGGTGGCCTTTACACGGAATATTTATTCTTCCTAAATACAACATTCGTATTTTTTTAGTATTTCTATCACCTCTTTGTGGGTAATTTTTGTCTTCAAAAAGTAGCATAAAGAGAATGTCACTTCAGTAAGAGTAAGATCGGCATTTTTCAGAAAATATTCCCTGCAATAAAAAAGAATTCAGTGAAAAATAACACAATAGGAGGGTTGATGTAAGACCGAAACAAAACTTAGGCGGTTTTGATAATTACGAATAGGTGGAGATGTTTTTTGTAATTTAACCTAAGTTCAGGGGTTTTAGTAATTTACCCTATTTTTTCATAAAGATCATCTTATTAATTATTTATATCGTTCAAAGTGTAATAAATTAAAATTAATGGTAGAGTACCCACGTACCAATATAACATACTGAAAGTAACGGTATTCAATTAAAAGTTTTAAAATTGTTTATTGTGTTTTCATAAAGATCGTCTTATTATTAATTTACATCGTTCAAAGCGTAACTGTAGACATCAAAATTTTGAGATAAATTATTAATTAATAATCAAAATAAATCGGTTATTAATTTAGGTCTCAAATTAAAGTCCATAATATATTTGGGCTTTAAAATGTCTGGCCCACTATGCAAGTCGAGAAACCCTAACCCTAGCTTGTGCCTATAAAAGAAGATCTTTGGTGCATCTAAAAAAGAAGACTCACACAGACACATATCGGGCTCTCAAGCTCACGTCTCGAACCTCCGCCTCGAATTCATAACATATTTGAATTCGTGGTATTCGTGATAGGAAATCATATATATTCGATTCCTCGAATTCATAACATATTTAAATTCGAGATGTTCGTGATAGGAAATCATATGTTTGATTCAAGAACAAGCTTTTAAGCCCCAAAACTAGAATAGGGGAGAAGAATCAGGGGAATTACGGAGATTGTAATCCACATCGTTTTGATTAATAAATTATTTGTTCCCTATTTTCTTGTCTTGTATTTTTATTATATTTTGCAGACTCGAAAAATTTGTGGTTTAAAAATTTATTTGTAGACGCATAAAATTAATTAATTGGTTAATTAAATTAGCCAATTAAATTGTGTCTAAATTAAATTATAATTTATCCTACAAAATAAGTTATGGAGATAATGATCAATTAATTATTGGCCAATATGATTATTTCTTCTCTTCCAAGTTATAAGAGATAAATATCAATTTAAAGAGAGCCAATCAAATCGCGCCACGTCATCAAGTAGACTTTAAGTAGGACTCTTATTCCACCACTATAAATAGGGACCCTCCCTACACAATTCAAAAGAGAACTCAAGAAGAAAAACCGTAGGAGAAAATTCTCTCTACAATATTCAAGTCGTTCTTCATCAAATTCAAGGCGTTCTTCATCAAATCGAGGGCGTTCTTCAACAAATCAAGATCGAAGGAAGATTGAAGGGTCAAATCCATCAAGAACTCCAAGATCTTCAAGTCAAAACCCGTCAAAGTTCAGCGTTTCGATCCGAGATTCAAGTCGCAAGACCCTCGGAAGACGTTATTCAAATCCAAATCAAATCCGGAGAAGATCAAGTCAACGACCCGTCTCCGAAATTCAAAGTCAAACACATATTGTTCTTGAGAGAATAATCAGAGGATTAAATTAGAGTTTGTAACCCGCAATATTTATTTTTAATTCAATAAAATTATCTTTGTGCAAGTTTTTCTTGTTTGTCTAAATTGCAGATAAGAATTTGTTGCTACAAATTTTGGCACGCCCAGTGGGACATCTCTACCTCTCATCTCTTCTCTCTCTCGAAGATCCTCGAAGTGTTGCAGTGACTGCTCTACGTTCGCAATGAAGTCCGCTACTTCGGATTCATCAAGTGTGGGCTTAGTTACAAGGACTATGGCTAAGAAGCTGCAAGCATCCTCCGAGACTAGCTCGACGCCCCAAAACATTCAGAAAGGCTTACCATCTCTTGTCAATACAAGCGCAGACGTGAAAGGTTCAAAACGAGAGATTTCACAGCCCACGCCTCGTTCAACATCAAGCTACTCAGAGGTGGCATCCGTCATGACAACAAACGCTACAACCATGGAAGAGCAAATTGCAAGTTTAACAAAGGCCATTGAGGGACTCGCCAAGCATGTTCAACAACGAGATTCTCAAATTGTCAAGTTGATCAACAAGATGGACAAAGCCGATGCTAGTCAAGCTGTGGAGAATCAGATAGAGGCTCAAGACGAAGTCGAGACATCCACAAAACAACAGCCAGTTGAAAATGAGAAGGCTCCACCTCAAGAACTTTAAGTTTCTCCCGAAGGGCTGATTCATGTAGATCAAGTGATGACGCTGATCAGTAGAACAATCAAAGACAAGTTGGAAGGAAGCTCGAAGTCGCCATCAACCTATGTCAAGCCATACACGCAAAGGATCGATGATCTAAAGATGCCAATGGGCTATATACCTCCAAAGTTTCAACAATTTGACGGCAAAGGCAACCCTAAGCAACATGTGGCACACTTCGTGGAGACTTGCAATGATGCCGGCACGTATGGAGATCACCTCGTCAAGCAATTCGTCCGATCGCTCAAAGACAATGCGTTTGATTGGTACATTGATTTGGGGGCAAACTCCATCGATAGTTGGAAGCATTTAGAGGAAGAATTTCTCAACCGCTTTTACAGCACTCGAAGAACAGTCAGCATGATTGAGCTCACCAATTCCCGCCAGTGGATGAAGGAACCTGTCATCGACTACATCAACCGTTGGAGAAATTTGAGTCTTAATTGCAAGGATCGACTGTCTGAGACATCAACTATTGAACTGTGCATCCAAGGAATGCAATGGGGACTCCGATATATCATTCAAGTAATTCAACCTAAAAGTTTTGAAGAGTTGGCCACTCGAGCACATGATATGGAGTTGAGCATACTTGCAAATCAAATTGAAGAATCACCATTCCAAAAGCCGTACCAGCTCAATGAAGAACATGTTGAAGAAGAACAAGAAGATCATGAGGATGGGGGCAAGTGTTTTGAAGAAACAACACCCTATGCAATATGACAAGTCAAATAAAATCAAGTACTCCTTGACACGAGTTTAAAAGGTCTACATGTCCAAGTCAAGTGAACACTCCTTGACACGAGTTTAAAAGGTCTACATGTCCAAACGAAACACTCATTGACACGAGTTTAAAAGGTCTACATATCCAAATAAAATCCAAGCACTCCTTGACACGAGTTAAAAGGTCTA